ATCCTCAACCTCGAGATCAATACTTGCGGTGGTTTTTCCAGTCATGCGCACAGCTGAGGCTGCACAAGGCTGGCTGGGTGCCCGAGGGGGGCTCTCGACAGAACAAAACGGGTTCAAATATCGAGAAATCAAATACCCCCATGTTTAACGGAAACAACCAGTACGCTCGGATCATGACTGCTGCTCGGATCCACGCAGCCCCTGGACAACCCCCCCCCACCCCATCATCCTGAGAACCTAGAAATCAAATCCCAGGGGTCAAGACTGAGCCCGTGGTTCAACCCACTGTCCTTTAGCGAGGCGACAAGCCTGCGGCCTCAGGGCTGGCAGAGGCTGAGCTGACATGTGACCCCAGGTGTGCTCATCAAGGCAGTGTCCCCTCACTGAACACAGCGGCTGCTTCCTAGGGCCAAGCGGAGGGGGCGGGAGACGCAGGGTGGGGCATTCGAGAAGACACGCCACAGAAAACCCAAGTTTGCAGGGAAGGCGGGAGGAAGCCCAGGAGAAGAGAGCCGTATGGATGCTAAGATGGAAGGAAGCCTCGGGAACTGGTTTGTCTGTCCACATTCTTTGTCTCTGCACACCGACACATTTCAAAGGTGTTAGGAGCCCTGGCGGGTAGAGGGCAGCAGGGAGGGGTCAGGAAGACGTGAGGAGGATGGGGCTGGAGTTCCCGCCCTACTGTCAACCCCAGCAGCTCCGCTGCTCTGTGGTACGACTGGGAGTCGATTTCACGCACACACGCGCTCTGTTGCTCTGAAAACCAAAGCCCCATCTTGTGATACATTACCTGGCAAGTGTCTGGCTGGGCCTTAGCGTGTGGAACTAGCAGGAAAGCCATGGGCTCCACACTGGGCGGCAGAGCAGGGCAGGGCAGGGCTGAGCAGGCAGGCTCAGAGAGACGTGCTGCCTGCGTTCAAGATCAGGCCCTGGGGCTGCCCTGCTCGGCTCCGACCTCCCTCAACTCTGACTTGGGCATGATGTGGGCACCTACTTGGAAGGGCTGGTGAGAGGGTTACCAGCTCGGAGATAATGGAAGGCGCTGCCTGACAGTTGTTGTCACTGGGTGCTCTTGAGCCAGTTCCGACTCCTGGTGACTCCATGCGACAAGGGCAGAGCTGCCCCAGAGGATTTAATCTAGAAGAGTCTTGAACGGTCCACCTTCAGCTAGCAGCCAAGTGCTTCATGCCTGCTGCCAGGTCCTTGCCTGGCACTTAGTCAGCCCTTCATCACTGTTGGCTGTGATTGAGCGGTTACTGTGGCAGGGCACACGGCATTCTTATCGACCGGCTGGAAGCAGCGAGGTCACTCGGGTGGTGGTGAGGTGCTGTGGAGTGGGTACACAGAGGGGAACACCGCCCGGTCGGTCCCCACCGCCCTCACCACCGTTTTTCTGTTTGAGCCCACTGACACAGCAGCCACTTCTTCTTGTTCGCTGCCCCTCTACTTTACCAAGCCTGGTGCCCTTTTCCAGGGACTGGTCTCTCCTAACAACATGCCCAGGGTACGTGAGACGTCTCCCCATTCTGGCTTCTAAGGAGCATCCTGCCTAAACTCCCAGGCAGAGTTGTTTGCTCTCCTGGCAGTCCACGATACTTTCAATGTTCTTCTCCAGCACCATCTCAAT